AGCAGGCAAGAGGCATAAAACCTGCCCAATTAGCGTTAACGAAGAGGTTAAGCAGAAACAAACCTCGCTAACGGGTGGGCTTCTACCAAGAGCTTCGCAGCTGATAAGGATGCGGAGGCGGAGGGGGGAGGAGGTGATAAGCAGGGAGGGGAGAAAAGGGGGGGGTCGGATAAAAAAAGGGTGTAAAAGGGGCTGGTGGTGTAGAACAAGGGGGTTGGTCTACGCGTTGGTCATCGTGGTTTGACCCGTCTTTGTTATCCCATCGTTTTCTTAACTATTTCTGGACACAGTGCTAGTTACTGGGGGGGACTGGTGTGAATGGGTCGTCTACAGGAGGCAGACTGGGGGTGTCGGTACCCCTGATCTGTGGTGTCAGCTACTGGGGTGAGCTGGGATCCCAGTGCAGCTACTGGAGTGGGTGGAGGTCTTGCTGGAAGGGCTCCAGCAGCTGGGCAGCACCATACTGGGTGGTACTGGGCTGGGCTGGAGCTGCTGGAGGGGGTGGCTGTTCTTAACATCCCTTAACACACAGCAAATGACCCGCTTTGGTCTCCCAACAGGTGATGGGACAGACAAGGAGAAGAAGAAGGAGTCCCAACCCATGGAAGAGGACAGGGTGAAGCTGGAAGGCCCAAGAGAGGAACCCCAGAACCCCAAGGTGGACATGGACCATGACGTTCAACATCAGCCAGATGAGAAGCGAGGTAGCCAAGTACCAAGAAGACCCCGAAAATGCTCTTTCAAAGGGACGTACGCTGAAGACCTTCAAGAAGACTCAACCCAACCAAGGAGTAGGTCCAGAGGGAAGGTGTTCAAGTGTGCGGACTGCAAGAAGATCTTCACCTGGGGGAGCAGCCTGACCCGGCACCGACGGATTCACACGGGAGAAAAGCCCTTCAAGTGCTTGGATTGCGGGAAGAGCTTCACGCAGAGCGTGGTCCTCCTGCGTCACTGGAGGACACACACCAAGGAGAAGCCCTTTCTCTGTACCACGTGCGGGAAACGCTTCTCCTGGCGCTCGGACCTCATCACCCACCAACGCATCCACACCGGAGAGAGACCGTACGCCTGCTCGCACTGCGAGAAGACCTTCCGGAAGAGGTCTCACCTCATGAGGCATCAGCAAGTCCTTCATGATGGTGAGTCCCTCGGAGTAGGCTTAGCGTGAGATGTCCCATGGAGCTGTGGGTGGGGACGGTGTGGAGAAGCACGTGGTGGGGCTGTGTTGGGATTCCTGCTCCCAGCGTGGTAGCAGTGATGGGGCGGGAGATGTCCCCAGGGATGGATTTGCTCTGTCCCCCAGGTTGGATTGAACTATCGGTGGGGATGGTCCTGGTCTGAACAGGAGGTTGGACTGGAGACCTCCAACTAACGGAACTGCGCTGGAAGAAACTCCTCCGTGCAGGGGGGGTTCATGAGGTGCTAGCAAAGGGTCTCCGAGAACATTTCCCAGGTTCATTTGGGGACATGGAGGCCTCTCTTCACCCATCCTCCACCACTGCAAACCCCCTCCTGGGTCTTCCCAACTTGCCTTATGCCAACAGATACTTGGGTTTCTCCTCCATCTTTGCTCGTGGAGGTCCTGTCCCCCTCTTCTGCTCCGCTCATCCGAGTTGGTGCGATGGCTTTGTCTTTCTCGAGCAGGCACCGAGAGCGCCCAGCCGGAACCAGGACAACCACCCCGGGTGCCGGAGGAGAAGTTGGAGAGCAAGAAAGAGCAGACACCGATGAGACAAGGGGGTGGCGTGAAGGATCCCCACGCAGCCACGAGCAAGCCGGTGGCCCGTGCCAAGCAGAAGACCCATAAATGCCCAGAGTGTGGGAAGACCTTCTGCTGGAGAAACAGCCTGAAACGCCACCAAAGAAATCACACGGGGGAACGACCCTACAAGTGCCCAGATTGCGGGAAGACCTTCAACGACTTCTCCAACCTCGTTTCCCACCATAGGATCCATAAGGGAGAAAGACCGTACGAGTGCCCCGAGTGCGGGGAGTGCTTCACCCAGAACTCCAGCCTTTCCAGGCATCGGAGGACCCACACCGGAGAAAAACCTTTTTCCTGCTCTGATTGCGGGAAATCCTTTACTCAGAAGCAAAAACTCATCTTGCACCAGCGGATCCACACCGGGGAGATGCCGTACAGCTGCCAGCAATGCCGGAAAACCTTTCGGAGCAGCTCCCACCTTGCCACGCACCAGCAGATCCACGCTCAGGAGAGCTCCCACGCGTGCGTGGTCTGCGGGAAGTTATTCAGCGTGGGCGCCGAGTGTCTTCTCCATCAGAGGACCCACTTGGAGGAGGTGCCGGTGGGCCAGGGAGCTTCTCCAGGGGGTGGGGTGCCACGAAATTAGGGGGTTGTGGCCTCCCTAGGTAGGGACCTCCACCCCTTTGGTCTTATCCCATGAGCCTGGTGATCTTGGAGGGGGAAATTCAGAGATGTCTGGGGGATGTTAATGCCCCCCGATGTTTTTTTTGGGGGGGGATGAGGTGTTTTTTAGCCCCTCTCTGCTATTAAACATGAGCGCCTGCGCATAGATGTAAAGAAGGAGGAGATTGACCAGGAGGTGCCTTGGGTACGTGGACAACGTGGCTCTTCCTTCAA